TTGTATTTTTTTCACATAAAAATTAACTGAATGTTGTTTCTAAAAGATTTTTTTAAATGCTGAGCACATTTTATACAGTTATTCTTTTAATAATCATAATCTCCATTTAAAGTTGTGCCCCACATAAGTGTGGCAGGTGATCCTGAGGAAATTGCATGTGTTTTAACTGCACAAGAAGTATTTGCCAAGTAATTATTGATAACACTGATGTATGTTATCTACTTAATTATGAGTCTTATAATTTCAACATTAGGTCTGTAAAAATTATCTAATTTTTCTAAACTATTATCTGTTTAAAAACTTTTGGAAAATTGAACCAATTTTGTGACCAATCATTTATCTCTAGGGCTATTTTTGCTTTCTACTCTAATCCAAGCACAAATGATAACCCCAGAGCTCTTGCTGACATCTCAAAATTTTAGAGTATTTTTATAAGGGTTTCACAGTCAGGTAACGTTAAAAAGGGCTGATCTAGATGCACATGGGTCTCAGGGATTTATTTCCTTGTTGATCTCCAATTTCCCAGTATGCTCTGGGTGCAGAGGGACAGACTTGTGACTTCACTCAGCCAAGGGTATTACGGGAAAAGAGTGCCACTCAATGCTAAGGGTGGGACTCAGCCTCTCCCTGGAGAACTTGTTTTCTTTCTCTTCAGAAAGGCTTCAATTCTCCTAATCCTCTTTCATTTTTAAGGCATTATGCTTCCAGCCATGGCAAGACCAATCTTCAGTTTGCAGATCTCTGTGGTCAAAGCCTCGGTCCCCATTTCCACCCTGATGGGCATCCTGACTTCTCAACTTATGCTCAGATTAGATACCCAAATGTGCCTTTTTGTCTGAGATATGTCCCAAACTCTCTCTGATGACTCATTTGAAAGCCAGTGAAGCAACGTCCTCCACAACTAGACTGAAGAACAAAAGGACAGCAACTTGTCTGTTCCCCTTCCCCCAATTCCCCAGCGCTGTACCCATCCCCCAATTCACCAATAAAAATCTTAAAAAAAAAGAAAACGAAAAAGCTAGACAAGACCAAAGAGGGAACCAGGAAAGGGAAGATTAAGTGGCTGCTCATCAGAAAATGACGTTTGTGGGCTCTGATGTTTGAGTTTGGTGGCCAAGAGTCAGTGGACACCACCAATTACTCTCTCAGGCCCATTTCTCAGGCTGGGCTGGTGGAGCGCCCTGATAGTTTTGAGTTGTTCCAGCTTTGAGTGGCTTGTTCCCATGCCAGCTGTTCCAGTTGCACTCTTCCACGTACTCCAAAGCAGGCCTGGTCGCTGGCCATGGTCCTGACCAGACTCTGGTACTTCTCTAGATGCTCAGGTTGGCTAGACTGGGGATGAGAAGATGACAGAGGATCTGAAAAAAGGTGATGATACGCACATATGATGGACTTGATTTATTCCTAGGGAAGAAGGAGGGGGGTGGGTAGAAGTGTGTGTTTGGGGAGGGTAACGATTTGGGAGAGCTGCTAGTCATCATCATATCCAGGAATGCTAGGCCTCCAAGAAACCTGAGTTCTCTAGCACAGTGACTAACACATACATGGAGGTTGAATCCATGCACCAGTGAATGATAATGTTCAGATTTAATGATAGAGGGAAAAAGATCTCTGTGCCCAAGTGTGAAGTGGCAGGTATCTTGAAACTCATACTTAGCAAAGAGAAAGGAAGGATCCTATGCTTGGGAGGGGGGTGGTCCACAAATGTTTCTGAGCTCAGATATGAGGATTTGAGGATCAGAGGATTGAATGACAAATTAGCACACGCTAAAAGATGAGAACATTTGATATGCACGTACTGGGAGGAATTAGTAAAGATTTTTTGGTACCTACCAGTTGAAATGAGACTAAAAGGAAGACAAGAGACCCTTTTCTCAGGTAGAAAGGAAGTGAGAAGTATGGGTCAGAATGAAACATCAATGGGCTAGCAAGTAAGATAAAGATTCATGGGACTTCTGAGTTCTGCTTCAGTCTAAGATATAGAAAGCTAGAAATATTTAAAATAGCACCAAGATCATTAAATACTTGGGCAGAACTTTAACAAAATGTGTACAAGATTTGTGTGGTGAAAACTATTAAACATTGGTGAGAGAAACCATACAAGAAATAAATAAATGGAGAGCTAACCTCTGTCCATGATTGGAAGACTTAATAGTGTTAAGAGGTCTAGTTCCCCCCAAAACTGTGCTATAGAGCCAATGTAATTCCAAGCAAAAGCCCACAGGCTTTCTTTTTGGTGACGGTTGGGGAGGAAATTGATAAGCTAACTCAAAAATTTACATGGCAAAGCAAAGTAACGAGGACAGCCAAAACCATTTTGAAAAAGAACATAGTTGGATTACCCACACCACCTGATTTAAAGACTTGTCATAGAACTACAGTGAGTAGTCAAGTTGGTGTGTTATTGGCAAAAGGATAAACACATAGATCAATGGAACAGAATGGACAGTCAAGAAATACATCTACATGTCAACTGATTTGCGACAAAGATACTAAGGCAATTCAATGGACAAAAGATGTCCTTCCATCAACAAATGATGCTGGTACAATTGTACATCTATAGGCAAAAAATAAAATAAAATAAAATAAACCACAAATCATATTTTGGCTCACATATAAAAATTAACTTGAAATGGATCACATACCAACATGAAAACCCTAAAACTACAAATTGTCTAACAGAAAACAGAGGAGAAAATTTTTGTGACTTTGAGGTAGGCAAAATTTTTTTAGTAGAACACAAAACACACAAATTATAAATGAAAAATTAATAAGCTGGACTTTATCGGCATTAAAATCTTCTACCCTTTGGAGGACGCTGTTAAGGAAATGATAAAACAAGTTACAGACTAGAAAAAAATACTTGCAGATCACATATCTGATAAAAGTCTTGTATCCAGAATATATAAAGAATTCTCACAATTCAATAATAATGCTGATAATAAACAATAAAGAATGGTCAAACAATATGAATTAATACTTCACCAAAGAAGATATGGCAAATAAACAATGAACGGTGTTCAACTTCATTAGTCATTAGGAAAATACCAATTAAAACTATAATGAAATATCACCATAAACTTTTTTAAATGGCTTAAAAGGAAACTCGACAATATCAAATCTTAACAAGGATGCAAAAATGGTACAACTACTTTTCAAAAATAGTGTGGTAGCTTCTACAAGGTTAAACATACACTTACCATGGAACCTAGCACTCCCACTGCTAGGATTTTACCTGAGGGAAATGAAAACATGTACACCCGAAATATATGTACATGAATGCTGATTGTGGCTTTATTCGTAATTGCCCCCAACTGGAGACAACTCAAATGTTCATCAGCTGGTGAATGGATAAACTACCTGTGGTTCAGCCACACTATGAAATACTGTTCAGCAATAAAAAGGAATGAATTACTGAGAAGTGCAACTTCATGCATGTTGTATGCATTACGATAAGCGAAAAAAACCAGGCTCAAAGGGCTACATACCATAACATTCCATGTACGTGACATCATAGAAAGGGCAGGATACTCTGGGAACAGAAGCCAGATCAGTAATTGCCAGGGCCTTCATTGGAGAGGAAGGGATTGGCTAAAGGGGACATGAGGGGACATGAGGGGCTGATAGGAACGTTCTATATTTTGATTGTGATGGTTATTACATAGATTTATGAGGTTTCAAAATTCATAGGACAGGACACCCTAATGAGATAAAATTTTGTGTATGTAAATTATATGCCAATAGTCCTGATTTCAAACACCAGAGAAGGATACCTACTCGTAGAGTGATCTTCAGGTGGCCTCAGACACCTCGTTCCCTAGGCCCTTAGGTTAAGCCCAGGCAGTTGGCTGTCTAAGTGAAGGGCTGTCTTTTGCTCACCGTGAATTCCCCATCTCCATGCATGTTCCCTGTCTGAATGGTAAATGCACAGTAAATATGGATAAATTAATGAATGGAAGAACAAATCAGCAAGTGCTTACAGGAAACCAAAGGAGCCTCTGATGATCTGTGGGCCCCCTGAGGGCTCTTCCAGCCTCCCCTGCTACTTCAGCCAGCACAACTCAATCCCGTGTCCCTGGGAATTGCTTCACCTCCCTCACCCCATCCCTGACTCTCCTGGACATTTTACATCTTTGGGCCTTTGTATGCACAGATCCCTGTGCCTGGATCACTATTCATAGGACCCACACTTACGGAAAAAGCACCCCACCCCAGATCACCAGGAAATGTCACGTCCTGTTGTGTCCCGTAGGATGGCAGGGAGTTCCAGGTGAGTGTGTACACAAAATAATAGCCATGTGACCAAATACATACAGGAGGTGCCCAGCTGTGCAAAGGAGGCTAAACTTAGCTGGCAGATTCTGGGTAGCAGAGAAAATCCGCTTTCTTGTGAACGGCCCATTTTCCCTTTCTTGTGCTAACGAGGATAATGGTGCTAGTTAATTTTGTTGAGTGCTGTGTGTCTGGCCCTGTTCTAAAGCACATTGCCTGTAGAAATCCATGGTGTCCTCCCAATGACCCTACACACTAGCATCATTCCCATTTCACAGATACAGAAACGAAGACACCGAGAGGTTATGGATGTGTGGCTGTACACACAGGAGCTGAGGAAGGAGGGACTTGAAGCCACGAAGTCTGGCCCCAGGGCCGTGTTCTTTACTGCTGCCCACATAGGGATGCTGGCCTGGAGGAAAGCACTAGAAGGGGTTGGGTGAGGATCGTGTCTTCTCAGGCGGCAGCTGTTCTCCATCCCTCGCAAGGCTGGAACCAGTGAACGGCAGGCACTGCAGCTGCAGGAGGGTCTGAACACAGCTGGGAGGACAGTGATCCTTGGGCTAGGTTCTGCCCCTTTGCACCCGGACCAGCCCCAGCCATGTGGTGTCACCCTGGCTGGTGTGGATGGTGGGCTGGCCTCTCGGAGGTCTGAGATCCTCAGCCTCCCGCTGCCAGGCTGCTGTGGCTCCTCCTCTCCTCTCTTCCCACACCCCACAACCCTTCCCTGAATCATAAAGCCAGACCCCAGTCCTGACTATTGCTCAATCCCCAGGAGCCAGTTCCTGTGGGCTGCGCCTGACAAGCCCGACTTTTTCCTTTCTTCAGTTCAAAGAAAAGACGAGGTCTTGCACAAGGCACCCTGTGTCTGGCTTCTACAGGGAAGGGTCACATGGAGCTTCTCCAGCTGTTCGTCCTGCTCTCTGTCACAGGTAGGATCACCTCCGTCCACCTCCGACGCCTTCTTTCCTTCCCTTTCCCTGAGTATATGGCAGGTGGGTGGGTGGGTGGGGGAGCGCTGAACCAGGCTCTGAAGGAAGTTGAAGTCTTCACATGTTCTACAGCCCTTTCTCCCCACCCTGCCCCTATCCTTCATGCTCTCCCCCCCTTCCCAGTATCAGGACGCACTGTCAGAGCCCATGCATGTGCTACATAAGGGCTGGTGGATTCTGGCCATGTGGAAAGGAGGGAGTTTTGATGGTGGCATCTCAGGCACTTGCTAGTAGCTAAGGGAAGTTTTTTTTGGGGGGGGGCACTGGTAAAAGCCCGTAAAATTACGAACCATTTAAGCATAAGACTAGCCCTAGAGGTGGGGTAGGGCGGGAGGGAGGACTGGGAATCTGCATCTTTTGGGTGCCCTTTCCCATGCTCTGAAGGTCCTCTTGTTGCCAGCCCTGAGTGGGAGGTGAGGGAGGTTGAGTATTTCTGTCATTGAGCTGGGGGGATGGATATCCCAGGTTCTTGCACACAACTGCTTTTTCTCATTGGGGGAAGGGTGCCTTTTGCTCCTGCAAAGCAAGAAGCAAGCCTGGGCAAAGGAAACCATCCTAATAGAGCCTTGCTCCTGCAACTTCTTAGCTGGGGTGGAGTGGGAGAAGATGGGGGGTGCTGACTGAAGGCAAAGGGATGGATGTAGCAACATGTGGAGGAAGCGCTGCTCATCAGGTCTCTCTGGTCCCAGAAGACAGGCCACCAGCTTCCCAATTCTATCTTTCAAATTTCTGTCACCATATGGTTGAAGATGGGATGAAGGGAGGGGAAGTTGAGGCAGAGGGCTGTGGCCCCTGCAACCGCGTCCCTGGCAGTAGACTAGTGTTCAAGCCCATCTCCCTCACTGCAAGGAGGGCCAAAATAGCAGCCTCATGTCACCCCCAAAATAGCTCTGGGACAAGTCCCTCCTGAAAGGGGAACAAAGCCACAGAAATGGGGAAGTCGGAAGCTAAAGGTCAGAAAGAAGAGAATGTAGAACCGGTACCAGTGTGGGCAGTGGCAGAGGAAACAGCATGACCGGGGCAGGGAGTGAGTGCCCAGGCCCCCGTGGAACCAGCCCCAGGCCTGGGAGGGCCACTGGCCCTTCTCTCTTGAGATGGAGAGGGGAACAGAGAGGTCTTGGTTCCATGTGACAGGGAGAAGATATGTGGAATACAACTGAAGGGGACTTTAAGACCAAGTGTTTTTGGAAACAGGCCCAGAGAAGGTCAGCTACTTCTTCAACAATGTTCAGAGGGTTTGACAATGATGAGCCAGACCCAGGACCCAGGTTTCCTGGTTCCCAATTTCCCATAAACCTATGCCTGGGTTGTGCCATCTTCTATAAGAAGCTGGGCTCCTTAAGGATGGCATTTCTGTCTCTTTTGTTTTCTGTACATGGTAGGTGTTTAATAAATATTTGGTATGTGAATGAAGGTGTGAATGAACCTCTCTCCCCCAGAGCTGTCTCGAGCCCACAACACCACGGTGTTCCAGGTCCAGGCAGGCCACTCCCTGCGGGTCTCCTGTCCCTACGACTCCCTGAAGCACTGGGGGAGACGCAAAGCCTGGTGCCGCCAGCTGGGGAACGAGGGCCCATGCCAGCGGGTGGTCAGCACCCACAGCTCGTGGCTGCTGTCCTTCCTGAAGAGGCAGAACGGGAGCACGGCCATTGCAGACGATGCCCTGGGCGGCACACTCACCATCACACTGCGGAATCTTCAAACCCACGACGCTGGTCTCTACCAGTGTCAGAGCCTCCATGGTAGCGAGGCAGACACCCTCAGGAAAGTCCTAGTGGAGGTGCTGGCTGGTAAGTGGGCAGCTGATTGCGCTTGGCCTGCCCTTGGGCCCAGGCTCATGGCTTCGGTGTCTGTGCAAAGGACCACCCTCTGAGCTTCCGGGGACCCTGGGAAAACCCACAATGTGGATTTTGTCCCCCCACTGAGGGCCACTGTGGATAGTTATGCAGGGTGCTTACCGCACAAGGGGGCCACCATCCAGTCCTGGTTCCCTGTCCAGGCTCTGCTCCCTGGGGCAGGACGGTGTCACTTGCAGGAAGGGGACTGCTCTCTGATTTGCACAAGCACCTTAGGTGCTACCTGTGGCCCTGATTCCCCAGACAGCTTTATCCATTTGGCATCTGTTAGGGTGCGTACTTCGTAGGTGGTCCTTAAGGAGTAGGAGGAGATTCATTTATTCCTTCTCCCCACCACCCAATGGACCTACTAAGTAAATTAAGCACCAATCAGATACAGAAAAGCAACCCTGAAAAGGAACATTGCTTGTGAGCACCCTGGGCAATGTGCTTCGTCTCTCTGGGACCCTATGTCTTCACCTTTAAATGGAGGTGTTGGTGTCAGTCCTGCTGAGCCCACAGGGCCCCTGCGGGGCACACATGAAGTGAAGGAGGTAAACGTGCTTGGGGGAAAGTGACAGGTTCGCCCAGTCTCCTGTGGCTGAACTGCTTGGCATTCTCATTCCAGGCTTGATGAGGTGAGACAGGAAGGGGCGAGGGGTGGGGTGGGTGTCGGGTCCTCGCAACCCCTGAGCTTTGCATAGAGGAAAGCCTCTGCCTGTGTCTCCAGAACATGGTTGTGTCCCAAAGGAGAAGAAATCTGGGGTTACTACCCCTTTTCTGATGCTCCCCTTTCCCAGCTCCTCCCCCCAACATGGCCTGTTATCATGGAAATGAGGGTCTTGCACAGTATTTGTCTAAGGTGGGGAGCTTAGGGGAGACTGCCTGCCATAGACCCAGGACCCCACTTCCACCACTTTTCTAAGTAGGGGGTGAGGAGACACAGATTTTTAGCCCTATCAGGGTCTAAGGCCCAGTCGGCTCCCAAGAGGGTGGCAGGAAAATAATAATAATAATAATAATAATAATAATAATAATAATAATAGCAGCTGGTGTAGACAGCTTGGCAGTACACAGGGGATGCTCAAACACATCCATTATTCCATTTGACCTTCCCAAAGACCCTGAGGGATGGGGAGTTGCAGTTACTGAGCTCCCAAAGATGTGTTAGGCACTACACAGGATGCTCCCACTGGATCCACAACACTGTTATTAAGGAGGTGCTCCCAACTGTCCCACTTTACAGGTGAGGAAACTGAGGCTCAGAAAGGTTAACCACTTGATCCACACAGGGCAGGAGACCAGAGGGCCACACACCACCCAGTGTTCTCCCCACCTCGCCACGCTGCCTCAAGGTAGAGGGGGTTAGAAGCTCACAGACTCTGTCTCCCACAGACCCCCTGGATCTGCAGGACCCTGGTGATCTCTGGATCCCCGAGGGGACCCAGGGGTTTAAGGACGTCCACGTGGAGCACAGCATCTCCAGGTACAGTGACAGGTCTTTCCTAAGAATTCTGACAGACTTCTACCCTCTAGATACCAGGCATGGGGTGGAGGCTGTGAGTTGAAGGCAGTTAGAGCATGGAAGGGGCAGGATATGATCTTGTCTAAACACTCTTCCAACCAGCCAGTGTGTGTTGGTACGACTGTGCCAGTTGCTAAAATATCGAAATACGTTTTATAACAGTGTGTAAATCACTGCAGCTCCAAGACTCCTGAATGGTCAGCCTCCTGCACCTCCCCTGGCAGCCCCCAAGGGTCATCTCTACAATTCAGCAACAGTGAAAGTTTTAGTACTTTAATACAAAACTGAGATCCCCAGATCTTTGCTTCTTTGGTGGAACCAGAATCCATTTTGATTGGTTCATGTCAATTTACTGGTGTCAAGCATTGTTCACATAACCATGGAGACACATGTGACCCCCACATATACACACACGTACACATGCCCCATCCCACACTATCATGGAAGGCAGAAGCCACTTAGTGAGGGAAGGTGAATGTTTAAATGCATCCAGCAGGCAGGTCCATGCCTAGAACTCAGGTCTCCTGACTACAAACCCATTAAGCCCCACACATCTCCATCCCAGGGATGGTGCTGGTTGAGGGGTATCCTGAGCCCCTGGAAGCTCCTGGTGTCTCCCTATTCCCTCTCTGAGGGCAGATTCCAGCCTGCAGGCTACCTCAAGGCCTCCCACACGCTCTCATGTTTCTCCAAGGAGCCTCTCAGAAGAGGAGATCCCTTTCCCACCTACGTCCATCCTTTTCCTCCTGGCCTGCATCTTTCTCAGCAAGCTTCTAGCAGCCAGTGCCCTCTGGACTGTGGCCTGGCATGGGCAGAAACAGCGGACATCCTTGGCCAGTGGGCCGGATTGTGGCCATGTCCCAGGTTACCAGCTCCAAACCCTGACAGGTGAGCTTGGAGAACACAGCGGTGGCTGGGGGTGGACAGGTCAGAGATGGGCCCTGTGAGCACTTGGTCTGTTGCAGGGCTGAGAGACACCTGAGAGGAGAGGACTCTACAGGGAGGAGAGGCCCTGAAGAGGGCTGCAGGGACCACCCCAGCCTGCACACTCGCTCCTGGGCCACCAAGACTCCTGGTTCTGCTGTGGCAAAAGGCGACTCTGCCTGTACTCTGCTGCCCCGGCCTTCAGAAGCAATGGGGTGTGGGGGTGTGGTGTGTGTGTGTGTGTGTGTGTGTGTGTGTGTGTGTGTGTGTGTGCCTGGGAGGTGGGAAGGACATCTACCACTTCTAGACATTGGGCATTAAACACTTTCACAAATAAATCCAAGACTTTTGTCTAACTGGATGGTTTTGGGTATCACAAAGGTCTTCTCTTTTGCTACAGGGCCAGGAGAATAAATGTGAATGGGGAAAAAGGGCCTGGCTCCTTGTGAACTTGGGTTGTAGGATACCACCTCCCCCATTCTCATAGGCTCCAAACTGGCCGATCTTTTTCTTCTTCTCTCTCCCTTTCCTAGATCTAATTAGCAAGTTCTGCCCCCTCCTCTGTAATTTCTTCAGCATCCAGTCTTCCTCTCCTCTCCTCTTGCCTCCCATACATAGGTTCCCTAAGATCATTGCTGGCCTCTCTACCCCAGGCTTCCCTCCTCACCCTCACCCCCTCATCCCAAGTCCATCTAATTCCAGCTGATTCATCCATTCATCTCCCTAGAGCTTTGCATTCATCATGTTCCTTCCCTTCTAGAGGACAATGACAAGGACTTGAGTTATAGAAGGCAGCACACCAGAGCTGGGAACTACTGATCCAAGCCCCTCATTGCACAGAAGGGAAACTGAGGCTCCCAAGAGAAAAGAGTTCCCCAAAGTCCCCCATAGACCCTGGACATCCAAATTTCACTTGTTGTTCAAGGTGCCCCTCCCTCTAGCTCAATCCTACTCACTTATTTATTTATTCAACAGATATTTTCTGGGCCTAGGCTGTTCTAGGCATAGGAGACACAACAGTGAACTAAACAGGCAAAGATTTCTGCCCATGCAGAGCCATGTTCTAGTGGGAGGAGAGAGGAGATGGGTAATAAATAAGTTAGTCAGATGGTGAAGAGCATTTGGGAAGGCAGAAGGCACAGGGATGATGCAATTCTAAAGGATAGTCAGGAAGTCGCACTTGGGGAACACTTGGAGGAGGCCAGGAAGTGAACCATGAAGATACCAGGGGCAGAGTATTTGCTCAGAGGGCACAGCCAGGGCAGCTCAGAGAACCTCATCTCTCGTCAGTACACACATACCACCCAGGACAAGAGTGAGGGGACTGGAGATACTTTTCCAGGGTGGGCTGCTGGGAAGAGGAGGAAGCGAGTCAGCCATGTCCTCAGGCAGGAGTCCCTCTGACCACGGCCACACATAGTTGCTTTTCTCACTCCCTGCTCAGGCTGTTCCACTGGTCCCATCTGTGTTCCCCTGGCCTTCTGACACAGCAGTGTGTGAAACTTCCTCCTCACGACACCCTGCAGTTGTCAAGACTGAGTGGAGACCAACCTGAGCCCCCTCCACCTTGCTGCCACCCTCTCTGAGGCACCAGTGCTGATGAGAAGGCAGGGAGACTCCCAGGCCAGTGTGCCTGGCACTGGAGCACACTGGAGGCTTCCTGTCTTGGGAGCTTGGCCTTGTCTCTTTCCTGCTCTGCCATGTCAAAGACATCCCCCTGATAATTCAGATTGTCATTGGGATCCCCTGCTTTGGACTCTCTGAGGGGCACAATGGACTAAGGGGTCAGATTCTTTGATTTCAAACTTCAGCTTTGCCTCCTACTAAGAAATTTCCAGCAAGTCCGTTGACCCCTCTGAGCCTCCGGGTCCTCTCCTATTAAAAAGGAAAACAAAAACAAAACAACGTCACATTCTCCAGGGAGCTGGTGCACTGTCTCTAGCTTCTCAGGCATGCTTGCCATTCAGCCACCCTGGGGCAAAACTTGGTCAGTGCCCTTGCTCAGAAGGCCCAGGCCAAGCAGAAACGTGAAAATCTTCATGGAGAAGAATTGTCTCCCAACAGAGAAGATAGTGTATTCTGGAAACAAAAATAATGTGCTATAAATACAAAGTGCTTAGATAATAAGAAATCTTCTAAATTAAACACACTAAAGAATAAAAATATAAAAGACAATAATAGAAGGGATGGAAGAAAAAGATGAGGATATATTCTAGAAATCAGAACAAAATAGACAAAGAGGGAAAAATAAGAGAGAAAAGATATGAAAATGAAATGAATACACGAGGTTCAATAGCTAGCTAATTAAGGAGTTCCAGAAAAACAGAGGGGAAAAGAAGAAAATGGAGAATTATCAAAGAAACAATGCAATTCCCAGGACTTAAGAACATGGGTCCACATTGAAAGGGTCTAGAGAGCACCCAGTAAAATAAATGAAGACAGGCCAGGTCCACCATCCTGCTGTGAGGCTGTACCCTAGGAGAAGGACAGTCTCCTAAAAGCTTGGGTGGGGACACTCATACAGAATTTAGAATCAGAATGGCCTTGGACCATGGGTAGGACACTTTACCCTCCTCCTTCACAGCTCTGCATCCTCAGAGTTCGTATTTGGAAGACCCCAAAGATCATCTTTCCTCTTTCTCTAATGCTCTCCCATTGCTGCGATCTGCCTCCCATTCTTATTCCTGGGCCTTCTCACACTGCTTTGCCCACCCCTGCCCTCAGGGTCAGTTCCTGAGCACTGAGCCAACCAGAGTTTGGAAGAGCTCCTTATCCCCACCCATGGAGGGGCCCCTGCAGCATCTGCCCGCCACCCCAGGGTCACTGACAGCCCCATGTGACTGTCTGAGGCAGATGTTTCCTGCCCCGGGGGAAGGCTGTGTCAGTGCCCAGGGAAGCCCCAGAGCTGACATCGCCCTGCCCAGCCATGGGTCCCAACCTGTTCCTGCTGCTGCTCCTGGGAATAGCAGGTAGTAAGGTTCAAAAGGAGCTAAATGTTGGGCCCCATATACTCTGTTTCATGCCTAGAAATAACGGACACTATTGTGGCCACAATAACATGCGTAGGGCCTAGAAGGTGGACCTCCCTCTAGGTCTCTGTGTTCCTGTGCCAGTGGGGGAGGGGAAAGAGGGTGGCTGGAGGTGCCCCCAACTCCTGCCTAACAGTCCCACATCCTTTCGTTCCCTAGGCCAGGGCTTGGCTGGCATCCTCCCGGAGGTGCTGCAGGCACCGGTGGGGGGCTCCATTCTGGTGCAGTGTCTCTACCGACTCCAGGACATCAAGGCTCGGAAGGTGTGGTGCCGGTTCCTGCCAGAGGGGTGCCAGCCCTTGGTGTCCTCAGCCGTGGATCGCAGAGCCCCAGGGCACAGCCGCGCCTTTCTCACTGACCTGGGGAGCGGCCTGCTTCAGGTGGAGATGATCTCCCTGCGGGAGGACGATGCCGGGGAGTACGGCTGTGTGGTGGAGGGACCCTCTGGACCCCAGACGCTGCACAGAGTCGCTCTGGACATCCTCCCTGCTGGTGAGTTACCCGTGGCTGGCCACCACCTCTCTGACCTGCCCTCCCCACACCCACCTGTGGCTCTTGGGTCCTTGCGGGGTGGGGGCCTTTGGGGGAGAGGCTTTGGGAGCAGATATCCTTTTGACAGTTCTGCAGAGAACGGAAACCAAACTGGGTGAGAAGTCTGAGATAAAACAGCCAAACGCGGCCCCCTGCCCGCTCCTGCACAAGCGGGTTTCCCCGTAGGAAGGCCTAGCCTCTTTCCTCACTCATTCATGGCCTTGCCTCCTCATCCAGCATTTCCAACATATTTGATGCTATTTTTTTATTAGAAATGTCGTAAACAAAGTTTTAATTTGGGCATATCAACTTGAATTACTTTTTTACCTTATCCATTTTTGTATTCCTGTACTAATGGGTTTGATGGCCTAAAAATTACTGAAGTCGTAGCTGATTTCATTTTGTCTTTACTGAGCGTCTAGTATGTGCCACATCTACAGGCAGGGTACATGCAATGCTTGACTTACTTCAACTTGTTCAGTTTTAAAAATGAAAAAAGTATCACTAATATTTAAGCCAACATTCTCAACCCTAATTTCAATATAGGCAGCACTTTATTTTTGCAGGTTTCATTCATACAGCCTACAACTTTCTAATGTCTAAGCATGAATTAAAAGAACAATTTTAAGTATTTAAAAAAATTCTTTTTTCTCAGAAAAATAGAATGTAAAAAAACCCCAAAAACATTCTGGAGGGAAAACGGTTAGCTGTCTGCTGAAGCAGAGACTGCTACTACCTTTCTCTTAAGGACGCTGACATTTTTTCATTTTCAGGTCTTCATTTTCCCAAGTAATTTGTGCTCAATCCTCAAATAGTGAAATTAAGAAAGGCTTTTTACCTTCTCTTGGTTTTTTTCCCCATCTGTTAATTAAGAGGTGGACTAGTTGTCATGACAAGCCCTCTCATCTCAAGTTCACAGTTACCATTTTATATTATAAACATATCCCTGTTAATACTAGTCATCTTTACTCTCCTCATTCCTTGATACTGTGCAGTCTAGGAACTCAGGGTTATCAATCCTTCAATGGCAAATTATGACAAGACCAGATGCAATAGCGCAGGCGTGAGGGACCCCCACATCTATAGAGGATGCATGCTCAGGCAGGCAGGACATGGTGTCCAGGGAGGGTGGGGCAAGCTTTTAGTTTTAGAGAGGTTCGTCCATGGTTGCTTAGGAGGCACCAAGAGGGCAGAATATATGCAGCCAGATTGGGCCGCAGCACCTCCTGCTCCTGATTTGGTATGGGGTGGGGAGGAGGAATGGTGACTCTCACAAGAACAGGTCAAGGCCGCCACCCCACAGGGCCTAGAAGGACTGGCCAGGTTCCCAAGAATGATCCTCAGGCCTAGAGAAGCCAACGCTGAGTCCCACAGCCATAAGTCGAGCATGTTGTAGGGATGACGGAAGCCTTGCCGCAAAACAGTCTCAGGGTCTGAGCAAGGCTCTCAGCAAAGGTCAGTTGGCATGCGTCACATTCAGGCTGACCCTGGAGTTCCTTAGATCCTGAGGGCAGAGCTCGGGATGGGGCTCAGCCAGCTGCAGGTGGCCACATGGTGACAGGTATGTGGAGAGGCCTAGCAGGCTGTGCCGAGGCCCCTTGAGAAACCAACCGATGAGAGCCAGGAGCAAGGTCACCAGCGAGGATGAGAATGGAGAACCTATGCCAGGGTGGGGTGAGGAAGTGGGCACAGATGGACCCAGGAGCTGTTTCTCTATAGTCTGAGCAGCCTGATAAGATCACAGGGGTATGAGGGAGCAGGTGGTAAAGGAGAAATGCAGGAGGAAGGGTGTGGGAGCTGGTGGTAGAGGGGAACATGAGTGTATTCACAGGCAGGCAGAGTGCCATTCCCTGGCCCCCAGAATGAGAGGCCCCTAAAGAACACCCCAAGTCCTCCCTCCTTCTTTGTGTCTTTTACCAGACCTCTTTTTTCTCAGCTCCACTCCCCCACCACTCAGACCTCAACAGGCCCTTGAACCCTGCCCACAATCGTTATGCACTCATTAAACATTTCCTTCTGACTCAGCCTCTGACCGGGAAGAGGAGGAGGAGGAAGACGAGATCTACAAGGTTGGCAGTCTGGCTAATGACCCTGTAGGCAGTGCCAGCCCTCTGGAACCCAGCCAGGATAAGAGGTACTGACAGAACTGTATCTGGGTGGCTGGGAAAAGGGTGATGGTGAAGATATGGCTTGTTTAGAGCCCCAGACTAAATTGAAAGGAAGCCTTATGATTCTCCCCGCCCCTGGGGAACTTCTGATCAGGCAGGTAGACAGACAGACAGACTTCTCTATCCCAATTGAGCAATGGTCCCTTCATCCCAGTGGGTCTTCAGCCAGGATGCCTCATAATGCGTCTCCCTTCTGCCCTGCCTGAGCCTGCCTCCCTCATTTCATTCCAAAAATCTCCCTCTCCCAACCATGGCTCACAAGAACTGCACCCTTGTGCCACTGCTCTGGGATTTCTGGTAAGCAGCTCCCGGCTGGGGTCAGGGCTGAGCTCACCTGTCCCCTTATGTCCCTCAGCATCCTCTTGATCTGGGGTGCTGTGCTCCTGCTGGGTCTGCTGGCGTTGGCGGTGGTGCTATTTGCTGTGATGGCCAAAAGGAAAGGTAGGTAGCGGTCCATCACCCTAACCCAGCTTGGTTCCTCTGGTCCTGTGTCAGCCAGTCTTGCAGTCAAGGCCAGGAATCTAGGTCAGCTCCCCTACAGAGGGGCTTGTCTGGGCATTAGCCGGAGTCCCCCAGACCCTGGAATTTCCATGGCTGAGGGGCCGAGGGGTGGAAGGAGATTCAGTGGGAGCAGGCCTGGGGAAACCCAGGAACTGGAAAGGGTAGGGGTGTGAAATTGGGGACAGGGGACTGGAAGAAGTAGGGACAGGGCTTCGAGAGCTAGGGTTAGTGTCAAGGCAGGTTTGGAAGGGAGCTGTGAAAGCAGTTAGTGGGTGGGGAGAGTCAGGGCAGGCTGGGCTCGGAAGACGGAGGTGGGAAAGGTTCTGTGATGGGAGTGGGGAAGGTGAATCTGGACTTGGAAAGAGGTTTCTGAAGGGGGTGGGGGGTGGGCTTTGAGCCGGCACAGAAAGCACACTGTGCTGCTGTCCTCTGTCCTGCCAGCACACAGGCTTGGTGTTTGTGGCCGATCCCAGGGCAGTGGAATTTCACACACGGTAAGAGGCCTCTGCGGGCTCCCCGCCAAATTCCCCAGACTCTCCACCTGCCCAGCTCACTAAGAGGTCCCAGGCTGACGGGGTGGATGAAGGATGGGGGCCCAGTCAGGGTCCAAACTGTCTTCCTAAATGCTGTAAACCTGGCACCAATTTTCTCCCACCTTCCCACCTTGGTATCCCACCTTCCCAGATTTGGGGAAAAACTTGGGGCTTAAAAATCTTCAACAACTCCCCTTGCCCACTGACATACTCAGGATTCGAGAGTCAGGTGCAGTGTGGTCCTGGACTTCCCACCAAACAGCACTGGGGACAAGGAAGGCGCTCCCTCTGCCTGAGTTGCTGGCTTTCGTTACAGGCACCTTCCTCAGTGCTCCACAACATCGGTGACTCTGGACTGACTGCAGACGTGCCATCGGCCATACCATATGTTAGGCTTGACTCACTACCTTCCTTTGACAATACCACCTACAGCAGCCTACCTCTTGAGCCCCTACCAGGGAAAGCCCCACCCCCCGCCCCATCCTCATCACCCCCTCTGCCTCCTAAGGTCCTGATCTCCTCCAAGCCGTGACATATGCCACAGTCATCTTCCCTGGAGGGGACAAGAGTGGAGGAGCCTCCCGGAAGCCAGTCCAAGATCCCCCTAATAGCCAGACTCCACCTAGCTGAGCTGCTCACCGCACTGTGTGCTCACAGAGAGTGCCCCCGGGGTTCCTTCTGTGCACCCGCTCACCCAGCCAGCTCATGCCCTAGATCCTTAGCATATCAGAGCAACTAGGTGACTTTAGGGTCTATTATAATCTAATGTCTTGACTTTCTGACCTGGAAAGTGATGATTGGGTGTGACTGAGGTATCTTGGGGAAGCCGCCCCTCCCCCACCCGTGTTAGTTCCTCTGCCATTATGCCACTGGACTCAATAAACTCTAAATGATGATATATGAGTTGTTGATGGTTGAGAGGAAAGGGAAAGGCCCGAGTTTGACTATTCACATGGCCTGTGAACTGAAAAGACTCTAGTCTAGAGTTTGTACTGTATTATTTCCCGCCTGTCCTGCCAGTGGGGAAGTGGTTTTATTCCCTGGTCTGAAATACTGCAATGCAGTCTGGTTCAAGGAGAACTGAGAAGGCTTCTTCAAAAGCATTTCCTGCCTTTGTCATGATACCTGAAAGTGTAGATTCATTTCCTTGAGTCTAGAAATTTCTTCTGTTTTCTGCTCTACACCTTGTAAACAAATGACATTTTCTGACGTGACAGCCTATGACGGAAGGAGGGGGATAATGACTAGTTAAAGGAGACTCAGGACAGACGGGGTGTGACAGATGGGGCTGAAAGGAAACAGGAGTAAGGACAGAAACTGAAATACACAACAAGACAATTCCTTGGCCGGACAAAGGATTTTGAAGCACCAGCAGAAAAAAAGAACTTTGCAGACATCAGTTTTATCAGAGTTGACTCTCTCTCAACTGGGTGGCCATCTGGTAGCACTATTTCCTTTGGCCTGAACTCTGGAGCTTGGGAGGAGCCCACAAAGAAAGGCATGGGAGTGGGGGGAAGGGGGTTGGATGGTAAGGATGTGGCCATGGTTAAGTACAAGTGAAAACTAGTCCAGGCTGTGGGTGGGAGGGCCTTTAAGGTCTCTGCCAGGATTCTTTCTGAAAACTGTTTAATTTGAAATTGTGCACACTGAGATGAGAGACTTATGCGGAGAGGATGAGTTGCTCCGAAACCCAGTTGTCTTATAATCATGGGAAGATAGACATAAAAAGGTTTTCTCAATCTGGAGGGGCCCTCAGCTTGTCTAGGCACCTCAGGAGAAGGAGCCGTGCGGGAGCTGTGCTCCAGCGGTGTAAGCCTAGTGATGCTATTTTTAGGGAGCTCCGGCAGGATGTTCTGAACTGCTCTGATAGAGTCTCAGCCTGTAACAGAACCTAAATTTATGTCTGTCCCTTTGGAGGCTGCAGCTGCCCACCAATCAAGTAAGACCTTGTTTTCCCTGGCTAAGATGACAGAGGACTTGCCTGGTGGGGGAGGTGAGGGGGTGTGGGGTGGGAGTAGAATAGCAGGAAGGGCAGAATAAAGTCTAAAAAAAGCCCCTCTGAGAAAAACTTACCCTGGCCTAAATGAATTTTGAACATTTTGGAACCTGATATAAACAAAAGATATTTAGTAGTACAAAAAGAAATACTAAGGAAGATAATCAATTGGTTGGTGGAGAAGAGGGAAGGGAAATACATTAATCCCATCGTATAAAGTCTGTGAAAACCAACCAAAGTCACAGTTATAAAAGTAACTTGGGGGGATATCCAAGATGGCAAAGTAGATAAATACATTGCCTGAGTCCTTCCATGAACATGTAAAAATTACAACTAAACTATAGATCAATCAACCTGGAGAACCACCTGAAGTCTAGCCAAACAGAAATCCTGCAACTGAAAATATAAAGAAGAAGCCACGTTGAGATTGGTAGGAGGGGAAGAGACACAGAACAGGCCACCAACCTCTCTGTGGTGGTTGAGGATCAGGAGGGGTATCTCTGCTGCGGAGGTTTCCCCTAGAAAAGCGAGGGACCCCAGTTCCCCACGCCAGGCTACCCAGCCTGGAGTACTGTGCCAGCCAGGAAGAGGGCCCCCTTTAACACCTGGCTGTGAAAAACAGAGGGGATTCCGACCATTTGGGTGGGATGGAAGGCTGTGGGAAGCCCGGATGTCCTCTTAAACAGCCTGTGCATAGACTCACTCGCTTGCAGGCACTCACCTTGGGCTCCAGCGGAGGGACAGTGACTTGGGGGGCCTCAGAGACCTACAGGGGATAGACTGAGGGGTGTGGCTTCAGGAGGAGGACTGGAGGACAGTCTTTTCCTCTTCCCGTGCAGCTGGCAGGCAGGCGCCATGCTTCCTATGTTGCGCCCACCACCATAGGCCAAATCTGAATCTGATTGGCCTGGTGAGCTCTGTTGCTCCACCCTGCTGACTCAGCTGGGACCCTGCCCCACCCAACTCCTGTACAGCTGCAGGCACTTTCTCCAAAAGCAGCCAGCCCCTCCTGCATTTCACTCTTTCTTGGACAACACTCAGCAGCCCACAGGCCCCAGGTGGATGAAGGCTGGCCTTTGTGTGCTCTGAGACTTTTACTGAGTAGCTCCAGGATTAGCACTGGCACCAAACCAGAGTCTATATTAACCTGGTCACCACAACTCTTCCCACTCTAGTGACTCCCTGAGGTCATGCCTCACCCAACTCATGTACCACATGAGGCTTTATCAGTGGCTGAAACTTATGGGAGTGGACAGGTGGCAGCAGGCCTCTGGGTGTCCTGGCTTTTCGCAGTTACCCCAAGCCTGGTACTGGTTGCAGCCATCCTTGGTTTGCAGCATGGCCTCTCCCATGTGCCTCCAGATTTAGCACAAGCAGTGAACAACTGTGGATCCCTTTGTAGCTCTCACGAGGCAGTGGCTGACTTGGGCCTGCACCAGAGCTTCTCCCAAGAGGCCCCAGAACAGCAACCTGTGGGTCGCAACCCCTTTGGGGGTCGAATGACCCTTTCACAGGGGTCGCTGGGTACTCGTATGTGGGCATATCTGCATGTGGGCCTGGAGACAGACAGAGGAGGGGTGTCTCGGTTCCTAAGACCATCGAAAATATGTTTTCCGATGGTCTTAGGCGACCCCTGTGAAAGGTTGAGAACTGCTGCCCCAGAACCAACATAATTGGAGGTTGGCTTCAGACCACAGCAGAGCACCACCCAATTGGTCCCACAAGCAGCACACAAAATAGGTACCAGAGCCAACTGGGGCAAATCCCACTCAGTGGGGTAAGCCTCCTGCATAGCAGCCCATAAGCTATGGATGTGGCCAAACCCCACAGCCAATCAGCCTAAGGGTTAATCCCACCCACTGAAGTGCCAATAGCAATCAAGACTCAATTATAACAGGAGAGTCACACAACCCACACAAGGACTACTCCTGAAGCACCTGACTCAGGCTACCAGGGAGACTGTGCCACTGGGCCCCACAGGACATCTACTACATAGGGCACCTGGCCAAGACTGGGAGATATAACAGATCTACCTAATGCATAGAAATACAGAAAGGCAGCCTAAAAGAGGAAACAAAGAAATACGTCACAAATGAAAGAACAGGAGAAAAATCCAGAAAAAGAGCAAAATGAAATGGAGGCACACAACCTACCAGACACAGAATTCAAAACAATAGTTATGGGCTGGCCGAGTAGCTCGTTGGTTAAGAGTTGGCTTGGGAGTGTGAGCTATGAGCAGCAGTGCTGCTGGTTCGGATCCCACATGGGCCAGTGACACTGCGCCCTCTACAGCTAAGATGGTGAACAACAGCTCGACCTGGAGCTGGGCTGCTGTGAGTTGCCGACGACGGTGTAGGCTGCAGTGGGGCTACAGTGTGCTGCCATAAGCTACCGTGAGTGGCCAGCAGCCAGTGTGAGCTGCTGTGAGCCGCTGTGAGCTGCTGTCCAATGGACGGTGACCAATCTGCCTCAGCTGGGAAGAGCACAATGATCACAATACCAACATGGGCCAGTGAAGCGACGTCCTCCACAACTAGGCTGAAGAACAAAAGGACAGCAACTTGTCTGTTCCCCTTCCCCAATTCCCCAATGCTGTTCGCTCCCCAATTCCCCAATAAAAATCTAAACAAACAAACAAAAAACCCAATAGTTATAAGGATGCTCAAGAACTTGAGAACTTCAACAAAGAGACTGCAAGCATAAAAAAGGACATAGAAACCATAAAAAAGAAAGAAACAAACAAAGGGTCAGAAGTGAAGAATACAATAACTGAAATGTAGAATGCACTAGAAGGAATCACCAGCAGACTAGATGAAGCAGAGGATTGAATCAGCAACTTGGAAAGCAAAGTAGCAGAAAATACCCAATTGAAATGGCAAAAAGAAAATAGAATTTAAAAAAATGAGGCTAGTTTAAGAGACCTCTAGGACAATGTCAAGGGTAACAACATTTGCATCATAGGGGCACCAGAAGGAGGAGAGAAAGCAAGGGATTGAGAACCTACTTAAAGAAATAATGACTGAAAACTTCTATAACCTGGTGAAGGAAACAGGCATACAAGTCCAGGAAGTGCAGAGAGTCCCAAACAGGATGAACCCAATGAGGCCTACACCTAGACACATTATAATTAAAATGGCAAAGGTTAAAGACAAAGAGAATCTTAAAAGCAGCAAGGGAAAAGCACCTAGTTACTTATAAGGGAGTTCCCATAACAGCTGACTTCTCAACAAAACTTTGCAGGCCAGAAGGGACTGGCAGGAAATAGTCAAAGTAATGAAAAGCAAGGACCTACAACAAAGACTACTCTACCCAGCAAGGTTATCATTTAAAATCAAAGGACAGATAGAGCTTCCCAGACAAGAAAAAGCTAAAGGAGTTCATCACCACCAAATCAGCATCACGAGGAATGTTAGAGGGGTTTCTTTAAGATGGGAAAAAAAAATATCAGAATGATGAATAACAATAGCCACATATCAACAATTATTTTTTTAAAAAGATTTTATTGGGGAATTGGGAGAGGGGAACAGCGCTGGGGATTTGGGGGAAGGGGAACAGACAAGTTACAGTCGTTTTGTCCTTCAGTCTAGTTGTGGAGGATGTTGCTTCACTGGCCCAAGTTGGCACCATCATTGCGCTCTTCCCGGGTGAGGCTGATCAGTCGCCAGCGTCTGGATGGCTGCTCACCGTGGCTGCTGGCCGCTCACGCTGGCTGCTGGCTACACACGGTAGCCCATGGCAACCCACTGCCACAGGGGCTGCAGCGTACACCGTCGTGGCGACTCACCACAGCCCAGCTCCAGGTTGAGCTGTTGTTCAGCATCTTAGCTGTAGAGGGCAGTGTCACTGGCCCTCATATGTGGGATCTGAA